ATTCAAGGAAAAAGAAAAGAACAACAGTTATGGTACCAATTGAAAGGGGTATATTTTTAGGAGGGATTAATTTTTGGGAAGAAGGTGTGATACGTTTTTGATATGTTGTTAGGAAAGCTATAGATTATATATTTGGACTTTCATTTCGAAGTAATAACCATATATCCATGATTCGCCACCAGTTATCTGGATCGTCGTTGACGTCATTCAACAATTCCTGAGCGATGCTCATGAGACGGTTTTTTTTGGTCACAATTCAGCAATTTTGAAACAAAATTCGCTGCCACACGCTTCATGCCCAAAATTTCGGGAAATATTACATGGCATGAGCCAACCGATATGCCGACATCCTCAGCAACTTCTCTAACAGTGATTCGACGATTCTCCATTTCATCGGTTGTTGATGTGCAGAGGCGTCCTAGGCGAGCGTCATATTTCAAATCTTCTCGACTTTCTGTGAAAAGCTTGTACCACTTATAAACATTTTTCTGACTCAGAGTACAATCACCGTATACCACTGTCAACATTTCAAGTGCACTTAATTCCATTCTATCATAAAATTTGATGCAAATTCTTTGATCCATTTTTTTGATAGCAGAAAGTCGCCGAACATGCAAATCACTTCTGACTTTTATGCCTCTCACCAACAAACCAAATGTGCTAAACAGCTGAAATTGTGAGCATATGTTCGAGACGAGTGTATCAACATAAAAAAATCGCCAATCGAATGTACGTAGCCAGCAAAATTTGAACATTCACCTTATTTTTTGAACATAACTCGTATGTGCATGTTCGACTAATTTGAAAATCATGTATCCCTTATCACCAATCTCTCAGATTTGTTTATCTTATCTGATAGTGTGATTGAAGCAGATACCCCAGTGAACATTTTGATAAAATTTTTCAAAGGTTTTCTATAAGATCATACATACACACATCAACAACATTTTACCAACACAAAAAGTTGGCGTCTTCACGACTCCTGGTTACATTTTTTTCGGGGACTGGCCTAGTACTGATATTAAAATTCTCATATTGATTGACCTTCGAAAAACATTTCCTCGAGTAGATAGTCGTCAACAAATCCAAGCAGAAAGAATTACATTGCAAACACCAAATAATTTTTTCAAATAGTCCACCAATAGAAAATTTTTGGTATAGGTGTTGGTAGGTAAATCATGGTCAGAAAACCTCTGATCTGACATGAAGACAAATTGATAAGTGCTGAGAATGTCATCTTGTGATGATGTATGATTTGTGATGATAATTGATTGTCGAACAACACCTATATGCTTTTACAGAAGTATGAAGAAATCATTTACCTGCAAATTCTCAAAAAATATTTTTAGTTAATGTATGTTTTCGATTTCTGAATGCAAAACACATTTGTCTCCTTTTGTTCAACATCTTTCACAGGGAATTGTGTAACATGACCCTGGTGATCTTTTTTCGATGAGAAACGTCAATAAATACATGTGGTGTGATGGCTGCAATGGGGAATGTTCCTCAATTTGGGTTATTACAGCAAATGCAAGTTTCAACAAAATAAAGTTGAGTTAAATTCATGAGTTTTTCAAATTCACTTCGAAAAGTATTCAAATTGATGTTTCAAATGTTGGGTCTTAATTTTTAAAGGGATTTGTTTCTAATTCACATATTGGCAACAGCGCCTATATCAAGTTGAAATAATTTATACGTACCTAGATATTCTACTTTAAAAAAGGAAAATTATCTTTATAAATCAACAATTAAGGCAAAATATAAATTATAGTTCAATACCACCTCCACATTCTTTTACAAAATAAAATTTAATTTGCGAGAAAGACACTTCAAACATAAAATCTACTTACGCTTATATTATAAACTGTTCGAAATGTCGTCCATTTTGCTCCAAACAGTAATAAAGTCGCTTTTTGAACTCCCCTCTAACATTGCGGAAAACTTCACTAGGAATTGACTGGCATGCTGCTGTAATTCGCCATTCAAGTTTTTCAATATCAAAAGGTTGTGTTTTATAAATAACGAATTCAAGATGCCCCCAATGTAAGAAATCTAAGAGTGTTAAATCCGGTGATCTTGGAGGCCATTCAACTGCTCGCCTTCTGCCAATTCATCTATACGGAAATCTCTCGTTCAACCACTGTCGGACGAGAAGAAAATAATAAAGTGGAGCACCGTTCTGCTGGGAATGTAACAGATCCTCATGCAAAAATTCATTATCTTCTGTATCCATTTGAGTTTCTAGCTCGTGAGTTATAAGAAGATCGATAATATCTTCAAAAATTTCAAGGTACACATTGCCAGTCAAGTTTTCCTCCAGTAATGATGGATCAATAATGGTATTTCCAAGAACACCAGCCGAAACATCAACTTTTTGTGGGTGTTGTGTATGCCGTTCCGAAAAATATGTGGGTTTTCGTCACTCCAATAGCGACAATTTTGTCTATTAACATTGCCATTCAGAAAAGATGAACACGCATCGCTGAAACAGATGTTTAACGGAAGATTAGAGATGATATTGACTCGATGAGACATGCTTTCACAAAACTCTATTCTTCTATCATAATCATCCTCGTGCAGCTCTTGAAGAATCTGCATCTGCACACGACTTTACTATCATCCACGTTTTACTATTAGACTACTTATTGATGTAAATTAATTGGAGCTAATGGCTAATGTTTCCCCTAATAAAGGGTTGGAACGGTACCACCTAATATTCTTACCAGTTCTGGTCAAACCATGCATCTCAATAGAGGCGTACTAATAATCACTTATGTTAGTTTAGAACGCTATTTTTCGGAAAATGCTCATTAAAAAACAATAAGTAAAGGTACCATTGGAAGCAGAATTGAACGCTAGTCAAAATGATGTTCCACTTGACCCCCTTCCCATTTAAAATTCTAAGGGTAACATCTACCCCTCCTAGGGGGTTGAACCACGATGGATACAAATACTCGTTGAAAAGTGTCCCCTTTGACAATGAAGTTGACCTGTTTTTTCGATTCCTTATTTGTTTACTGGAAGTAAGATTTCAAATTGAGACCCTGTATATGTAAGAGTGCGAAAATTTAATTTCACAACACTACTGGCAGTACTAGTAGAACCTACGATGAGGAAACTATCAGAATATTATGTAGATATAGGTGGGCTGTTGAAAAGATTTTCGCAAAAAGGGGAGTAACCAAATAGGAGAACTCTGAAAATGGATTTGTTCAAAGCATCCAAAATCATTTTCAGTAAGCCTGTGTTTGAAATATTTTACTGACTATTGAATCGTTTGTTTTCCTGAACTATAAAATTCTCACGGAAAAACTGTTGAATGGGAGTTCAAAATACTACCCCAATTATTAGTTGATTTCAGTTTGGTGGTATACGCATGATTTTGTGACCATATTCAAAATTCATCTCAACATTTATTAGAAAATGAGTTTTCAACTGACTTCACGGAAACTCAATACGTCATTACAGTTGTTCATTCTTTGTAAGTACGTGAAACTGGAAAATAATCTTCAGATGTTATAGCAAAATATTCTGAGTAAGGATGAGACATTATTTTGACATTCTGATAAACAGCTGAACCTACTGCTATAGTAATCAACCTTTATCATTTTATCTATACGTTATATGTCCATGTGAATTATATACATGTGAATAAATAAATGTTATTTGTTTATAAGCTTTCATTACACAATGTTCCCACCAATTCCTACTATGGGTATTTTACAAAATGTAATTATAATTAATTAGGGCCTAATAATATATTGAAATGTTAAAATATTCATATAAATATAGAAAAATGGTTCGTGACAATATGTTCAACAATTCGTGTCTTTTGCATGATTTTATCATTGGAGTGATAAAGCCTTTTTCATTGGCATATAACTAATCCCCCGAATATTTTGAAAATATTCCTTCAAAAACATTGAAACTATATGTTCATGATGCGAAGAATATGTATACGACAAATAGTTGAATGAGTATTGAAAAGAATGAGCACAACCTATGGAAACGTTCAGTATATTAAATTTATTCTAACATGCCTATCAAGTCAGTATAAGGCCTTTGAATCAAGCACGAATCTTAATTAGAGAAACATCAAAGCAATAAGAGTCCGATGCCCTAAGAAGTATTTTCTTGAAGTTTAACTGCAGATACTACATAATATTCTGTCTGCAATGATTCTTGAGCACTAGTGAATCATGAAATTGTTAGCTTTGAGTCTTTCATGATCGTTTCTCTCCAAAATTTTTAGGAGTTTGTTCCTTTGTCTTTGGCGAATTGAACTCACAATTAAGCCACAGTATCAAATTACATATAATTGTACAGATTCTAAATGAAGAACTGTGCGTTTCTTCAAAACCACATTCATTCAGCTTTTCGAAATCCTTTCAAATAATTCACCTTCATACCAGTTAATATTTCATATACATGAATATATGTAATAATAATTAAAATTTTAGCCCTAGAATATTCTACCCCATATGTGATATTTCACGCAAAGTAAATTGTTGTGGGTATAATGTTACATGCAAGCAAATCATTTCAACGCAGACATTAGTCTGTTGAACTCTGAGAGAAACGAAGTGGAACTCATTATGAGATATAAGGTAGGCAGATGTACTAGTATTACCTAGGAAGAAAACAATGGAAAACAGGTAGGTAGACGAAGAATCCTAAGTTTACCTGTAGAACAGGTACCTTTAGTCAATAGTTGAAAATTATATAATTAACTATAATTAATTATTGAGCCTGGTGAGAGACTTATGGTTTAGGTAATGTAATAATCATATATAAATAGACTATAATATAAATCATAATTGTTGAACATAATAAGCAAGGAAGTGAATGAGTAGAGATGAAACAGGAACTAAAACCCTAATTTGTGGAATTATGAATCTAATTTCGTACTTTCTAAATATAGTGAAACACAACAAATGCGCTCGAGCTTATCAGGGGAAGAAAAAGTTCAGTCTGTTGAATAAAAAACAAAAATTTCTCACCTGACCCCGACTCGTACAGAAATATCGTCTTCATCCATTCTCGATTTTTTCCCTAAAAACAGCGCAAAATTACATATGTCCACTAACACACCTGGTGTGACACCTACCTTTATTTGAACTCTTTATTCAAATATCTATTTTACATAATGACACAACAATTGTTCACAATAGTGAGATGGGCAGAGTTGGTTCAGATCAACTATTACTCTTGTCATATTTGATAATAAACTATCCGTTATTTTTAGATTGAAGAGTTTTCGATGGGGGTTTAAAACGTCAAAAGCACATGTAAATAACAGAGTGGAAGTGAAAGTGTTTTTAACCTAACCTAACCTATACATCAGCTCACGGTGATGCTGCGGTGTCTACGAAACGTACGAATGGATCGAATATAAGCGAAATACGGTATAGGAGCACAACCGACCGTGCGCTTCACGAGGGCAAGACTGTAAAATTTGTTCGCTGTCACAGTTGTACTACCTGTCCTCTCTAGTTGCGTACCGTTCGAACTAAATTGCAGGTCATAGGTAGAACGTAGAACCTTCAAGTACATGAAGAACTGTCAGGACAAAAACGTAGATTTGGAAACTAATAAAAAAAAATATGAATGATCAAACGTTGTAGCAACACATTTTTAAGGGTCTTCCGCAAACAAATACAATAGTATCCAAAATGAGATCTCTTTCCGGGTGATAACAGTGCCGTGCAGTTATACCTGATAGTTTCCCGCCGTGTCTGTCTGAACATGATAAAATTGAAAAATTGTCATACAGGTTTTCGCTAATGGCGATTAAAGAGGAAGTTTAACTTTATAGTTGAATAATGTTTTGTTTGAATGGTTGAAATATGACGGATGTTGTCCGTAAGAAGGGTGGTGGTGCGAACTTTCGTCGAAAACGCTCCCTAATCCCTTTGAGATATAACAAACTAATTTACTACACTTTGGTTCTAGGTCTGAAGTCCGCGATATCTATCTTTCAAAGTTAAAGTAATGGTCACAGATAATATGGTAATTGGAATTCTATCCTTTTCTGTTAACCAAAATATTATTATTCTTGATGTATATGATGCAAATGACATATGATGTGTTCGCAAATGACGGGAGTTTCAAAATCATAGCTATGTAAATTCAAGAATCACTAAAACATCTTTAGAAAGAAAAATTGTGCCAGGTGATGAAAACTAACCTGAAATTAGAAAAACAGTACATTCATTTTATTATAAGGAAGAAATAACGACCCTCCAAAAAATAATGGGAGCTTTGAAAGAAGACCAAAGTATGTCTCCAATGATAGGCTCAAATAAAACGTAAAAAACTTTAAATTTCAGCTGTGAAAAACAATACAGAAAATCTCTCTCAATCGAAAATGATGAAGTTATTTGCTGGAGGTGATATCACCTAAGGTATTACCTTAGACGGTTTGGACATGAGAATAGAAAGATTTATTATCTAGAATCTAGACGAAACTTGGCTTTACGAAGGATATACCGTTAGAAAGATGTGGCAAGACAAAAACATTACAATTTCTTTAAGCAGTTTCAAAAGGCTGGTCTACCGGTTTCAAGTCAGTTCCTGGAAAAGGAAAGCGACTGTTTATTATCTACATTGAAAGTGTAGATGGTTTTGCTGAGGGCGGTTTATTGATGTTTGAGTCAAAGCATTCTGGCGATGGCCATGATGATATGAATGGCGATGTGTTTGAATAATTTTTTGAGCAAATATTAGGCCTAACTCTGTGTTTGTGATGAATTATGCAAGAATCATTCCAGAGAAAATGAAAATGGCTTCGACAAAAAACATACCGTTTGATGAACGTATGCTTTAAAAAGAACTATTGTTCATAGTATGTTCAACTAAAGTTCGTTTCACAAAATATGTAGTCGACAAGATGGCACATAAACTAAATATTATAGTTCTGAGTCTGCCCCCTTACCATTGTGTGCTTAATGCCGTTGAACTCGTTTAGGCTCAGGGGTTTCGTTGCAAAAAGAAACATGACATTTAAAATCAAAAAACAAATACTCTTCAATGAATCCATAGAAAATGTTTATTCCGAAAAATGGCGAAAATGTATTGAACATGTTATAGAAGAAGAGGACAGGCATCATGTGGAAATTAGATCATTTAGTTGAGGAAATTGTAGACCCTATAATCATGACAGTTGACGAGGATTTATCTCTTATACCTGATATGTTCCAAAATAAGCATACCTTTTTATTATAATGAGAATATTTCAAATCAACATTTTATAACAATAGGATGGTCCCGGTAAAGAATTTTGAAAGTTGAGATCATATTTTGTGTTGTCTTCAGATTTTGTGTAAAAGTGAATATTATCGAAGGTCATTATTATCAAATACTAACTGAGGTACCCGGCTTCGCTCATGGAGTTGATATGAAATTATGTGGTAGTTGATATAAATAAATGAACTTTCAATCAAAAGATTTCAACGGATGTCGATTTATTTAATCCTACAAATGAATAACCCCACCCTAACAAAAAAGGATTCAAATGGTTCAAGCTGCTCCGGGGATGTTCCTGAATGTTCCACACTGTTCCCAAACCTACCACAATGTTTACGAATGTTCAAAGATGTTCCGAAATGATATTGATCGATCGACAATAATTTAGGACTAGGATGTTCCCGAACATTCCAGACTATTCGGGAATCTTCTGAAAAGCTCTCAAATACTCTCGAATGTTATAGACATTTTAAGGAGTCGAAAATCATAGCCTTCATATCTTCAAAAGCGTGCCTTTAACTTTAAACGGTAATTTTTTATACGGATGTGAGATATTTGGCTACCACAACATATAACTCCCTTGATCGTTCTACAATGATCTGGGATATTTCGGGATGTTCTTGAATGTTCCAGATTATTATCGAACATTCCACCACATTTTGGAATATTTTAGGATGGTTTGGAATGCTCTCAAACACTATCGAATATTCTGGACTGTTCAGGATCTTTCCTGAATGAACTTTTCCCAGGGGGCTAGTGATAATCCTGTAACACCCACCTAGTTCACTTGGATATGAGGTATCGGAATCGCAACATCCCGATGAATCTTGCGTAAGCCACCGCAAGAAGTCTTACACTGAATGCTGAAATGAGCAGTGAGCCACCCGTTAACACCATCGGGGGCGCCTCCCATCGGCCTGTCGTGGGTCTATAAGGTGGCACTTCACCCTGTGGACCACCTGGACCAACTTTTTTCCAGTTCCCCACCCACTCCCGTTTGTGGGAGAGACGTAAATATTGTATATATAGTCTGTACATTGGACCTTAGATTTACTATATATAGAAAAAGGCAATAAAGAATTTTGATTTTGGATCTTTCTAGAGGGCGAAACTTTCAACCTTTATATCTTCAGAAAGAGGCCCTTTAAGTAAATCGGTAACCTTCTTCGCGGATGGGTCATAGAGAACTACCATACCATATACCTCGATTTCTCAATGATCTAGGAAGTTCCTGACTAGTTCACAACATTCCAAAATGTTACGGAATATTTTGGAATGTTGCGGAATGCTTTCGAATACTCTCGAATGTTCTTCAGGTGAAAACAGGACGAGCACTGATACTTCGAAAAAAAAGTGTATACCTGGAGAAACAAACCCTTTGTACACCCCCATTTTTTCTGTATTTTTGAATTATTTTTACGAAATTCGAAATTTTATATATGCTCACATAGAAGCACTTTTTTGACGTAAAGGGTGATATTTTACAACTACCGGTTTTTCCGGAAATGATATCAAAGTTTGATTTTCAATTAAAGTACCCCATATCCTTTTACATTTTTGAAATCTACATAATCTTCTGAATGGGATGATACCCCATAGTTGATATTACAGGTAAAAACATGAGTATTCTTCATGGACAAGCGACTCTGATACTATGAAAAAAAGTGTATCCTGAGTGATACAGATTCATTATATACCCCCTTTTGTTATTTCTCAAGTTATTTTTACAAAATTCGAAATAAATATATTCACGAAGAGGCACTTTTTGACGTGAAGTGAGATTTTTTCAAATTTCAGTTTTCCATCAAAGTTTGATTTTTGAATAAAACACCTTGTATACTATCACATTTTTGAAATGTACATCATTTTCTGAATGCGATGATACCCCATAGTTGATATTCGAATTATGGATTTTAACTGTCACGTGGCCTGCAAGATCACCTGACTTAACCCTTTTACACCTCTCTAAGGTCCTTGCGTATTATCGGGGAAGTTGTTGTGAAACAATAAAATAACTTTTGGCAATTCGATGAACTGTTATTGATAATTAGTTACTGAATACATTGTTGGAGATCGCATTGATAACAGAAATAAGTTGAAAATGCCACAAGTTTATTATAGAAAAAAGTGTGTAAGCAGCTTATTCAAAGAGAATGTCGGCAAAATGCATTTACTAATCACCAGTTGTACTCGAATCGATATCCCGTTCGATAATGTTGGGAGAGAAATGACTTCAGGGGTCTTGAAGAACGGAGTTTAGACGTAAAGTACACCCCTTGTTTAATTCTTCATTCATTTAACTATTTTTTCTAAATTTGGCACAATGAATGTACTCATGAAGAGGTATATTCGAATTATTTCAGTTATCAATACGATCTCCAACAATGTATTCGGTAAGTAACAAATAATAACATTTCATTGAAACGCCGATAACCCGCGAGGACCTAAAAGAGGTCTAAAGGGGTTGAGTCAGGTGATCGGATTCCGAAAATTATGTCGTTTCTAAGAATGCAATAGTTCACAGGGTATTGTTTCATTTGAAAATCAAATTTTGATCTCATTTACGGAAAAACCGGAAGTTGGAAAATATCTTCTGTTGCTTGTGATGCACTGTTTGGGACCTTTGGTATATGAATGAAGGAAGAATAAACTTCCTTTTGAAGATGTTCACTTGGTGATCGAAACACGTGACAAAGTGTTAAAATTAACGGTTTGGTGTTGGGATGAAACTCCAGTAATATTCATCTTCTGTTACTTCTGAAAGTGCCTGTGTGTAGCTCGGAAAATGAAGAAAAAAAGTCTGTGTCATCCGTGTGAAGCCCGATCGGGTCGTTAATATAAAGATACCTTCTCACGAGATTTGTTTAATTTCGTTTTTATAACGATTCATTTCACATCTGCTCATAGTAAAAATCAGTGCATAATGATTTTTTTTAACTATAAGTATATGGAAAAAATCTAGGATTCTCAAATGTGGAGTATTGAGAAATTAGTAGCTAGAGACCGATCGTCCTTATATCCGTCTATAGAAAGTCGAAACTACCTCTTCTACAACTAATCTGTGTACTTGACAAGAAGCAGGTTGATGTATTTATTTTATAGGTATGGATTTTAGCAAGAATTTTGACCATGTTCCACCACAAGCATGTGATGAGAAAAGTTATCAGAGCGTGGTACCTCATTGTCAATACTGTTAATAGTCCAGGAATATTAGTCAAATGAGGGCAAGTATCTCGGAA